AGAGAAACACCCATCAAAAACTATGAAGCCCGGTGTGTGACTGACAGCAGGATGGAACCTGGATAAAGGTTGTTGATCACTTCTTCTCTGAATCTGGATTAGCAAGTAGGAAATACATAAACCCCTGAGTATTACCCTTATTATTAGTTAAATAATGCATAGTAAGACACTTTGAAAAATATAATACGCTGGCTCAAGCTAAAATTACAATGAAAATGTTAGATTATCATAGTATAATATGATACTATGTATAACAAATAAAGATCTGTTAAGATCATCTCATAAATAGGAGAAGCAGGGGACAGTGATGATATTGTAAAACTATTTGTGGAAATGTTGCAAAGAGGAAACAGCCCAGTAATCAAATCCCACAGAATTCTAAGAATGGTCTAATACCCAGGTTTCACAAAGCCTCACCCAGAAAAATTTCTCAGGATCCAAGTCACTTTGAGTGGTATAATTACTTTGTCCGCTTTCAGAAATACAAGTTCATAGATCCTGATTCCTTGCCATGTAACACTCAGCTGTTCCCTGTTTCTTTGTGTCCAATCATTTTTCCTTCCATTACTAAAGACTGATTCTTTGGGTGAGTTTTAGTTCATATTCCCAAGATGGTGACTGACTAAATGAGTGATATTTGTTAGAATCCCCAGTTAGGCAGTTTCTCCTTAAGCCAATTCATCACTGACTAGCCAGGTGCCCACACCAGTACCAATCAGTTGAAAAAACAGGGAAATCCCAGAACCTTTATGTGGGAGGCCAATATAGCATGTGACCAGCATTTGCCTCCCCATTGTTGGTCACCCTGTGATCTGGTTGCCTAGGTAACCAAAGACAGTAGCCCTGATCTTTAGGGTTGAGAAAAGCAAATGTGTCCTCATGCATGGGCGTGCCCTCCCACATCCCCAGGGATCGAGTTGCCTCACCTGTCCTTGTAACCCTGCCCCCCTTGACCTTCCTTGAATGGAAATTTCTAAAGAACCTAGAGTCCCCCCAATAAAAGCCCACTCTGAAACGTGCTTGCTTATTCTCGCCAGCCTCTCATGAGATTCCTTGCTCTCCCGTTGGGGAGCTTGAGGCCAAGGGCACAGGAGCTATCCCATTTAAAGGTAAATTGTGTGTCTGTGTTTTATTCTGATGCCTTAGGAATTTCACTCGAGCAATGCTTAGTTTAGCTGTCTGTGCGGGTTATAGACGGCACCTTTACCCACAGCAAGAGTTTTGGACATTTTGCTTAGGAGAGGATTCTGAGCATGGTTGATAATAAATTACTTGACCATGATTGGAAGAAAAGAGGGGGACAAAACCCCTCAAGACCAATATCAAACTAGAAGACTCAAAAAGTTAGAAAAATGTAGTTTTAAATCTTTTAAGTGTTTCACATAGATGGCTTTCAAATATCTCACTGCTTAAATAAAGGTCATTTTGGGGCTGGGGTTGTGGCTCAAGTGTCAGAACACTCACCTAGCCCGTGCAAGGCCCTGGGTTCGATCCTCAGCACCACATAAAAATAAATAAAATAAAGGTATTGTGCCCAACCAACTACAACTAATATATATATATATATTTTTTTTTTTTAATGTCATTAAAGTTTAAAGGACTTAGGCCAAAATTCATCAAACCAATTCAGACAATACAGCACTAGAATTTATACAAGTTGGGAAGCAAAGTGTACCACAAGATGGCAGCATTATCCCATCTGAGCTTTATCTGGTTGAAAGTCTGGCTCATCTGCAGAGCTTGCACAAACTGCCCACTCATCCCTGTGGTTATTTTTAAGAGAACTGAGCAGCCCCCACTCCATGGGGGAAGTTATAAATTTAAACAGTTAATGTCACATCTATTTTTCTTCCCTCCAGTCTACTTATTATCTCTGAGTTCAAATCATTCCCAAGATTTGGGAAACTTATTATTTTTAATATAATATGTAATTAGGCATGGAAGCAGTGGCTTGAATTACCCAAGCATTATAAGCTCCCTGGCCATATCTGAATCTCGGGATTGACTATTTTGTTATATTGTTCTTTATTTGCATTTACACAATCCAGTTTTTATTATAGCCATTTTTAATGTGTATATCTCTCTCTCCTACTAGATTCAATTCAGCCCCAAAACATACACTGAACCAACTGTGGTAGCTAATTTTACATGGCAACGACTAGCTGTGGTACCTAGATATTTGGTCAAACAGCAGTCTAGATGGGGCTATGAAGATATTTTTTAAATAAGATTAAATTTAAAGCAGTACACTTTTTTAAAGTATGAATGTTAATTTTTAAAAAGCCTACAGATATATTTCTTCCTGGATACATCCATAGTGCAGACTCAGTGGCYAGTGGTTCTGGTGTGCTGGCCTCAGACACAAAGGCCCCAGAAGTGGCCAAGCCTTCTTGGACACTTAATCTTCTTCAGCTGCTCCAAGTCTTCATGGAGCTTGTTATCCAGACCATTGGCCAGAAGCTGGATGTATGTTCCATCTTTTAAATCTGTCTGTTCAAGAACCAACCTGATGGGTTGGGGCTGTAACAGTGGTAGAGCTCATGCTTAATACAAGTGAGACCCTGGATTTGATCACCAGAACGAAAGGGGGAAAAAAAAAAAACCTCTGAAATCTTGTACTGGTAGGGATTCTGCATAATGGTGATCACACCACTTCATCACTAAGTTTTCCAGCCCTCATGCTGAGGTCACTGTCTGCTTTCCTCAACATCACATGAACATATCTTCTACCGACATCCTTAATGGTGGTAATGGGAAAGGCTATTTTTTTTGCCACCCCTCAATGCTGAGTAAGCACAAAATGTGCTGGAATTTCTCAGGGATCACTAGACTTTCCTGCCCCAGTTCAGATGCCACCAGATCCCCTGAATCAGCAAATCAATTCATAAAGCAGGCATGGGTGGTAGAGGGCTAACCACTCAGCTGAAAGTCTTATTCTCTTGAAAAAGGCTGAGAACCTCAAGGAAGAGGGAATTCTGGTGACCTTTGGACTCAGATTGCAACATCAACTACTCCATGGTCTCTAGCCTGCCAGCCAGCCCTGTCAACACCCCACAATCAAATAATCTAATTCCTGGAATTTTCTCTCTCTCCCTCATATGTGTATGTATTATGCATGTGTATCTCTACATGTATAAATATGTAAACATATCATGATTGTGTTTCTCTGGACAAAACAAACATATCAACTATAGGATAGAATAAAGATGATTAATAAATATCTTTGATCTTGAACAGATAACTAATACTGTAAGTGCTGAGGCAAATGTATTATGAAAGTATTAATTCTTTGGGAGATGGGGAGAAAAACCAGTAAGAGGTGACATTTGAATTACAAAGAATGAATAGGGATCCATCAGGCAGACATTACAGTGAAGGACTCTAGCTAGGGCAGTGGGGACTCATATGTAAACTGAGCACACTCAGGTGAAAGCTGAGGCAGGAGGATTGCAAGTTTGAAGTCAGCCTCCCCAACTTAGCAAGGCCCTAAGCAATTTAGCGAGAACCTGTAATAAAATAAAAAAGGTCTAGGGATGTAGCTCAGTGGTAACAATACCCCCTGAGTTCAATGCTCTATACCCCCAAAAAAACTAGATGCAAAAGGAGCAAAATAAGTTTCCTCCAAGTGTACATTTGGATTCTTATTATTTTGTTAAGGGATTTTATATAACTATCATAAAACTCTGGACTCTTATGAAGCTTGAAACTCTGATTATCCCACCTTGACAGTTACGAGACCCTGAGGTACAGTTAAAGCAATCTGTCCAACACCCAAAGTCAAGTAGGAATATGAGCCAAGACTGACTCTAGAGTCCACAGCTTTAACCACTAAACTACTAAGTTCCTATATGCTTTAATGTTCTAAATATTATATTCAAAGCAGAGGCCAGGAATCTTTAGATTTATACACATTTTGCTTAGTATTCCCTGCACTTAACTGTCTTTTCTAATGCAATAATAAAAGCCAAGACTAAAAATAAGACTGTCCAGCATCCATACATCCTCAGAGTGATTTTTTTAGTCCCATCCTTATTCAGATTTAAGTATCACAGATTTCCTGGAATATATTAGAAATATGTTTATGGTCAAAACCAGAATGAACAGCTACAACCTCTTCCTCATTTTGCAATGAAGTGACAGTAGGGGGCAAGCTTTTACTGCTTTTCTCCTAAAATAGGTAAATTTTATTAATTCTTCTCTACATGCCTGTAAGCCTTCCTTATTCAGGAAAGGTAGATTAGAGATAGAATACTTTAACCTTTCACTTTGGTCTTAATCTTTCCCTTTCTCCAGATTACCATCCCCACTGTGCTCCAAATTACACCCATCTTTCTTTATTACTCTTCCTTTACACTGTGTTTAAGGAATTTTTGCTTATTAAGTGCTTTTTAAATTACAGGCATTGGAAATGTCTGACTACTCGCTTCACTCTCTTAATAAATTTGAAAATAAACCTAGTCTCATCCTAATCCTACCCTGAAAACTTGATGGCATGTGGTCCCACACATGAATACTCACCTAAAACAACATGAATAAATGAGCAACAGAAATCTTAAATATATAGTTATATAGGAACTATCTTCATCCAAAAGAAACATCTAGAAACTAACTTTTTAAGTATGAGCACAGTGATATTAGGTGATTTAATGATTAAGAAAAATTGATGACAATAACAGCGTAAACAGAACTATCTTTAAGTAAATACAGAAAACATAAGTATTACAGATGAACACTGGATAATTTAGAGATTTTTTTTTTATTAAATGCATAAAAAGTAGTCCTCACTTTACAAGTTTACAAGTTCAAAATCAGACAAATGTATGTGGGCATATACTTATAAACTGTATCCACCTAAACACTCACTGTGGACACATCTATATTACATTCAGCATTCTGCATATTTACATGATACTTACCGCAGAGTAAACACAAAGTGAACTTGCATCTTTCAGTTCAATACATATTTGATAGTTTCAAAACAAAGGCAACCTTTTTCAACCAATCCTGTATTTGTGAAAAATACAGCAAGAATAATTACAAGAGTTCCATGTTTTCTTAGCAAGATATATTTGTTATTGAAATACAGATATTTTAGATTTTAATTACCAAGATAACAGTACTTTTGATTTACCATTCACCTTTAAATAGKGGATGCTAATTTATATTTGTTTTGCTCTGTTTAAAAACGTTCAAAACTTAAATAATACAATTCTGAAAGAAGGTTATGGGCCTTGACATTCATTCAATAAACATGATTTAAAACAGAAATTCAATTAATTAACTAGAATTCTATATTTATTTCCTGTCTGCTAGGGTTCAGTTTTAAATCTGATTGTATATTAAAACCAACAATTCAGAATTTATTTCATAAGATTAACCCAAAGTTACTAGAGAGCTTTTAAACTATTTCACTGCTTATAAATAAATTACTAGATAATCTATACCAGTGGTTCCTTGTATCAGAACTATCTGGGGAGTGCCCTAAAAATACACTGGCTCCTATTAAAACTAATCAGTAAGAACTCAGAATGTATTTTTTTTTTAAGTTCCCAGGCAAAAATGATATGCACCTTAGTACAGGAAACAATGACCTTGGCCACTACACCCATGGTTCTCATCTTTCAAGGTTCATTAGAATCACTGGGGGGAACTAAAAACTAAAAACAAAGCAAAACAAACCAAACAAATAGATTTGCATCAGTAGATTGAGAGTAGTGACCAGGAACTAGCATTTTAAACAACCATTATTACAACAGGTCAAAACCATTCTGACAAACAATGAACAACCTTTGTCAGAAATCAATAAAGAGTACATTCAGCAATTTAGGTGACATTGTCCTGCAAGCCCTAGTGATACCCTAGGCAGTTATAGCAAGTGATAGATGGCAACAATTAGCCTTTTCAAATATATTTATATTCTTAGGTTAAAGTCAAGTGAATTGTGAGACTATAATTCATTCATCAAAGAAGGCTCTTTCAAACAAATTACTTAAACCTCCAAACAGACCAGTTCTTAACACCCAACTTAAATCTACTGCTTTCTATATCATTAGCCTGCTRTGTGATCAGAGGTAGTGATTCCAGCTTACCAAAAAATGTAATGTGGATTATAAAAGATACACATTCTCTGATTGGAGACCAGTTACATGTTAAATAATACTAAAACAAAAGTATAATACACTATCAATTTCAAGCAATGAAACTTCATAATATTTCCCTCACATAATAAGTTCCCACATATAACATCAGAAAATAATTCTAGAAAACACTAAATGCTTCATGTTGCCTCTTTTGTGAAGGTATTTACTAATTTTCCACCAATCCTAACATTATCTATAAAGTAGGTAGTTTTACTTTTAATTCTACTTTGAGATTTAAAAGCACAGAAACTATATCTCACTATCTAATGACTAAGTATAAATCCATAGGGGCATTTGAGTGTATGATATCTCCATCATCCCTGCCAAACTTTAGGAATGATGTAATCTATTTTGAACCTCAAAGATACATAAAGCAACAACAAAAATAAGCGAGACTATATGGTTATAGAAGAATCTATCTGGCATCTTGCTCACCTAGCCTATGCCTAAGGTGCTATTATTTCCTGTGCATATACTTTTCCACTATGTTCTTCACAAAGGCTTATATTATATTTTCCAGGGGCATGTGTGATTAAAGAACTGGAAATTTTTCTTAACTAAGCAATGAAAAGGCAATAATTGAAATCAGTGTTTCATTGCCAGAAAGGCATAACATCTCATAAAATAAGAAACTAAACTTTTAAATCTACAATCAAGAAGCTTAAAAATTCATATAATTTTGAACTACTTAAGAGTCTAGACTCCCATAATAATCAAAGCATTTTTCAGTTTACAAATGACAGAAGGCCAAACTGATGAATTATAAAATTAGCAAAACAAAAGTTGAAAGTTACATATAAATATCAAAACCAAGTGACATTATGTCTATTACTAAGAAAGAAAGGCTTCTTAAATGGCTTAAACAAGATATGGAGACACAGCAAACCTGGGATGAAGATTTCAAAACATAACACAAAGGTATAAGGCACTATATGAACCTCACTCCATACTTAGGTCATCTTAAATCCAAAGAGTATAGAATACATGAAGAAAACACACAAAAACACAATTTTTCATGCCCTTTTAGCTGGTTTGGCTGTTAACTGCTTTTCTCTTTCAAATTCTTTTTCTCGTTGCTGCTCCCTTTCCAACTCTTCTTTCTGCCTCTTCTGCTGTAGTTTAAGTGCCCTTTTCTGTGTCAAAGAAAAGGGTTATAGATTATGATCTAATTCAAAAGTAATGATACTTTGAGGTAATCAATACATACTAATACATTTCAAATTTAACTTTAAGATTTATTCTAGGTAACTCAAGGTCTCCTTAATCAAAAAAAAATTTAATACAGATTCTTATTAAATGATAACTGTAGCTGCATATCCAGAGAATATGAGCCTGTCTGCCAAGTTATTAGAAAAGAAGCTCAGAGAGAGATTTTAAAAATGACAACTTTTAAAAGAAAACAATGTACTGTGACTTATCTATATTACTATACATGCAAGAATAAAAAGTCAACACATGAATACTGAAGAAAAATAAACTTTAAACTTGTATTTTTCAACTTACCTTTAATTTTGATGTCTTTTCATGGAGCATCAGCATCTCCTTCCTTATGTTCACCAACTTGGCATGATAGTGTTTAGCTTCAGTGAACTTAACATGGAAAAGTAAATGAAAAGTTAAAACATGAGTGAAATAKCAAAATGGATCAATAGATCAATGCCTAAATTATAGTTCATTCTTCTTAAAGAGGTCAATTTTTTAGAGCCTTAATTATGTCCATATTTCAAGTTCCAAAAAATAAATTTTATTTAAAACATTAGCAGGATTTGAAAAATATTTGATTAAGTTCAGATTGACAAAAACAAATCATAAAACAGACCTTTATATTTAAGTGGACAGAGCTAGCATTTTGCTTTAAAAGCATGAAATGATTCTTTTAGAAATGTAAAACACTCTTTATAAAAGAGAGAGCAAGCTATGGTACATAGGACAGCTTAACTGATGCACTGCTCATCAGGAAAACCCAAGCTATGACCAGAGATCACTGGGAGAACTATGGGCAAGTTTGATCATGTTCCTTGGGCTTTTGAGATCAGACCAAGCAAAAGAGCCTCTGCAAGGATACTGTGCTTCCCCAGGAATTATAAGTACATGCTTTCCATCTCAGCCAGTCTGCAAAGCCTAAACCAAGTCTTATGACAGGAGAATGTGGGAGGGTGATGCAGGTCTACATAGGTGGGAAAGAAGAACACTTTATTCTCAGATAATGCAACAGAATCAGAAAAAAGGAGAGAAGTATCCATAGATAAATCTGCCACTTTACTGTAGCTGCAAATAAAAATCACAATCTGACAAGATCTAGAGCTTCCAGACCACCCCCTCTCTCAATTCCTTCCACTTTTCAATTCCTAGATGACAATTAAAACTAATCTTGGATGAGAGAGGAAAAAAGAAGAAAACTCAATTTCTATCCCTTCAGACTGAGGCAATGGTAATGCATCCTCTTAGATCACTGGTGCAATAAATACCCATTCAACTGCAACATGAGCTCAGAGAGGAACACAAAAGTTGATCAGTGTAACCTGGCTTACCCCCTTCACAAGATGTCACAAACTACTGAACAGAAGACTATTTAATACAACAAGCCTCTCTCGGTCCCATTGTAGAGAATATGGACTTTGGTTTGGATTGTTCTGTAAGGAAAACATCAGTGAACTTCATCTTCCCAATAAAAAGTCTGCTTTTTGAGGTACATATGGATCTCTACCAGATATATAAAACATGCAAACCAAGCTATTTCTGATGTTCAAGGGGAAAAAAAGGGAACAACAAGTTCTTGTTTTTGCTATTTACCTTTACTTAAAATAAAGAATTTCAGTTCTCTTCAAAAAACAACAGAGTTAATGGGCTTGGTGACACTCACCTGTTATCCCAGTGGCTGGGGAGGCTGAAGCAGGAGTATCACAAGTTCAAAGCCAGCCTCAGTAAAAGCAAGACACTAAGCAACTCAGTGAGACCCTGTCTCTAAATAAAATACAAAATAGGACTGGGGATGTGGCTCAGAGGTTGAGTGCCCCTGGGTTCAATTCCTGGTACCCCCCTCCCAACAGAAAAAAACTACAGAGTTGCTGATGAAATTAAATTATTCAATTATTTGAAAGATCTAATAAATCATTCTTGAAGTATTCATTTTAGCCATGGTATTAAGTTATTATAGTATTACACATATGCCATATAATTAAATAAAATGCTAATTTAAGAAACCAGGTAATTGATAGACTGTATTTTCCTTAATGGGAAAAACTGTACCCTAAAAGTTCCTTACTTTGGACTGGGGCTATAGCTCAATGGCAGATCACTTGTCTCACATGTGGGAGGCACTGGGTTTGATCCTCAGCACCATATAATAAAAATAAAATAAAATAAAGGCATACTGTCCATCTACAACTACAAAAAAAAAWTTAATTGCATTTCATTTTTTAAAAAGTTCCTTACTCTTTAGTTTCTAAGTCTTCAATTATGGGCTGTCACTAAGTCATAGGTTTTGAACTATTCTGTGACAGAGGCGATCCCTCCCTGGAGAACTCTCGGCTCCAGGGTATTGATTTGAGATTGCCCAGTTGCTATGGTGATGCCCTATTCAAAGGAAGATTTTGTACCAGTCACAGAATTTATTGTTCTTAACCCTGGGTTCAAATGCCAGCTGCTCAGGAGGTAGAGAATTATGGGTGCAGGCTGGCAAGTTTTAATTGGGCTGTTTATACCTTCAACTTCAGTTCTGTTTATCTTGAAGAAACTTTCTCACAATAAATCCTTTTAATGTTTAAACCTACATAATAAACATGCCAAGCAAGGTCAGTCTTCCTCCATCCGAGGTTGGCTGAACCACCAGGCCCTGGTTTTTTTTTCTGTTTGTGTATCTGACTGTCTTTTCTTCATCCCCTCATCAACTGCTCAGTTAGCCTTGAATAAACTGTCATGCAGATTGAGACAATGAGCAAATATAATTAAGACTTAGAAATAAGTTCAATTTCACAAGTTCAATATTACAAAAGATATTAAGAAATGGAAATTCCAGCAAAGCAAAGTTTCCTGTTAAAAAGACAAATTCTTGGGTTGGGATTGTAGCTCAGTGGGAAAGAGCTTGCCTCGCACATATGAGGCACTGAGTTCGATCCTCAGCACCATATAAAAAATTCATAAAGATACTGTGTACATTACGACCTAAAAAATATTTTTAAAAAGGACAAATTCTAAAAACACATCAAGAAAAAGAAATTTCACATCAATATTCCTGATGAACACATATGCAAAAATTCTTAATAAAATCCTGGCAAATTGCATACAAAAGCATATTAAAAAGACAGTGCACCATGATCAAACGGGGTTCATCCCAGGGATGCAAGATTGGTTCAACATATGGAAATCAATAAATGTAATTCATCACATCAATAAATACAAGAATCACATGATTATCTCAACAGATACAGAAAAAGCATTTGACAAAATACAGCATTCATTCACGTTCAAAACACTAGAAAAACTAGAGAGAGTAGGAACATACCTCAACATTGTAAAAGCTATATACATGCTAAACACAAGGCCAACATGATTATAAATGGAGAAAAAATCGAAAGCATTCCCTTTAAAAACTGGAACAAGAGGAATGCCCTCTTTTACCATTCCTATTCAACACAGTCCTGGAAACACTAGCCAGAGCAATCAGACAGAAGAAAGAAATTAAAGGGATACAAACAGGAAAGGAAAATMTCAAACTATTCCTATTTGCCAATGTGATTCTATATCTAAAAGACCCAAAAGAACTCCACTAGAAAACTTCTGGAACCCATAAATGAATTCAGCAAACTATCCGGATATAAAATTAACACCCATAAACAAATTCATTCTTACACATCACTGATGAATCAACTGAAAAAGAAATTAGGAAAACTAACCCAATCACAATAGCCTCAAAAAAATTATTTGGAAATCAATCTAACAAAAGAGGTGAAAGGTTTCTATAATGAAAACTACAGAACTCCAAAGAAAGAAATTGAAGAAGACATTAAAAGATGAAAAGATCTCTCATGTTCTTGGATAGGCATAATTAATATTGTCAAAATGGCCATACTACCAAAAGTGCTATACAGATTTAATGCAATTCCTATTAAGGTTCTGATGACATTCTTCATAGAAATAGAAAATGCGATCATGAAATTAATTTGGAAAAATAAGACCCAGAATAGCCAAAACAATCCTCAGAAAGAAAAGTGAAGCAGAAAGCATCACAATTACCAGAACTTAAATTATACTACAGAACCATAGTAACAAAAATGGCATGGTATTGGCACCAAAACAGATACATAGACCAATGGTACAGAATAGAAGACACAAAGACAAACCCGCATAAATATGGTTATCTCATACTAGACAAAGGCACCAAAAACATACACTGGAGAAGATAACCTCTTCAACAAATGGTGCTGGGAAAACTGAAATCCATATGTAACAAAATGAATTTAGAACCCTAACCCTCAACCTACACAAAATTCAACTCAAAGTGGATCCAAGACCCAGGCATTAGGCTAGAGACCCTGTGCCTGATAGAAGAAAAAGTAGGTCCAACTCTCCAACATGCTGGCTTAGGAACCAAATTCCTCAATAAAACTCCTAAAGTCCAAGAAGTAAAATTAAGAATCAATAAATGGGATGGTATCAAATTAAAAAGTCTCTTCATAGCAAAGGAAACAATCAAGAACATGAACAGAGAGCCTACAAAATGGGAGAAAATCTTTGCCACGTGCACCTCAGAGCATTAACCTCCAGGATATATAATGAACTAAAAAACTTAACACTAAGGGCTGGGGTTGTAGCTCAGTGATACAGCACTTGCCTCACATGCGTTAGGCACTGGGTTTGATACTCAGCACCACATAAAATAAATAAATAAAGATATTGTGTCCATCTACAACTAAAAAAGTATATATATTAAAAAAAAAAAAAACTTAACCCCAAAAAACTAAATAACCCAATCAAAAAATGGGCTAAGGAACTGAACAGATACTTCACAGAAGAAGAAATACAATCAGTCAACAAATATATGAAAAAATGTTCAACATCACTAGCAATTACAGAAATGCAAATTAAAACTACACTCATATTTCATCTCACTCCAGTTAGAATGGCAATTATCAAGAATTCAAGCAACAATAAATTTTGGCAAGGATGTGGGGGGGAAAAGTACACTCATTTGGTGGAAGTGCAAATTGATAAAATCACTCTGGAAAGCAGTATGGAAATTCCTCAGAAAACTTGGAATAGAACCACCATTTGACCCAGTTATCCCACTTCTTGGTATATACCCAAAGGACTTAAAATCAGCATACTACAGTGACCTAGCCACATCAATGTTTATAGCAACTCAATTCACAATAGCTAAGCTATGGAACCAAACTAGGTGCCCTTCAACAGATGAATGATAAAGAAAATGTGATATATGTACACAATGGAATATTACTCAGCCATAAAGAAAAATGAAATTATGGCATTTGTAGGTAAATGGATGGAACTGGAGATTATAATGCTGAGAAAAAGAAGCCAGTCCCAAAAAAACAAAGGCTGAATGTTCTCTCTGGTGTGTGGATGCTGACTCACAATAGGCTGGGGGGAGGATGGTGTTCACCAGATTGGACAGGGCAGAACGGGGGCAAGGAAAGGGGATGGGAATGGGAAAGACAGTAGAGTGAATCAGACATAACTTTCCTATGTTCATATATGAATATATGACCAATATAACTCCACATCATGTACAATCATAAAAATGGGAAGTTATATTCCATGTATAATATGGTATATCAAAATACATTCTAATCAGGTAAACTAAAAAGAATAAATAAAATTTTTTTTTAAAAAAGACAAATGCTAAACTCTAGACAGGTGCTTTACCAAAAGCCACAAAGCCCAAGTTATAAACTTTAAAAATGCAGAAGTTAAAATCCTAAACACATATAAGTACATTCTAAGTACATACCTGAGAGAATAAACTTAAGCTTGTTTTTGGAGACAAAGTCTCACTAAGTGGTTTAAAGCCTCACTAAGTTGATGAGGCTGCCTTTGAACTTGTAATCCTCCTGCCTCAGCCTCCCAAGCCACTGGAATTTCAGTTGTGCACAGACGTGCACCACCACACAGACCTAGCTATTTCTAAAACAATGTATAGTTGAGTTATATCAACAAAAATCACACTCACCAAAGCATTAATATCCAGCATAGAATGACATTCTTTAAATTTTGAAATCTCTTGTTCCAATGTATCTAATAACACAACTTGGTTCTGTCTGAAACAAAAGCACATAGCCAAAATAAACTTTTCATAWTTTAAGTGGTAGTTCTTCAGAGGAAATAATATTCATTTTGGTTAATGCTAAAGTTTAGAATTTAAGTAGAAATGTGTTTCCCCCAAGGCTTATTTGGTTTAGCATCATCTGTTTTAACATAATATTATAAAGGCACACTGATAACTAATGTGTCTATATTCTTGCTTCAATTGCAGACTCTTTAACAATTAAAATAATCAAATCATTTAAAAGTATTTTCAATTCTTTTTATTGTCCCGAAAAAAAGAAGCTTTTTATAATATTTTCCCCAAGAAACTCAATATCTTACATACTTTAAAACAGCAACATTCCCATAAAGGAAATGAGGGGCACTAACTTTTCTGATTAGAGTTGGGAAGGATGCAGTACCAAAGAATAAGTTCAAAAAGATAAATAAGTAGCAAGTTGAAAAAAAAAGCACAGAACTAGGATTGCAACCTTATCCCTACCAATAGCTATTTGTGTGGCTTTGGGGATTCAGCTTATTTCTCTGGATATATATCATCTCATTTCTAAAGAGAGGTCAGCCAGAAGAGATGACTTCTAAGGTTCCTCATTAAAATTTTGATTCAAACCTATTGAGGAAGAGAAGCAAACTTCTCTAATATTTCTCTCCAAGTGGATCAATGGAAGAGTCACAGGAATAAGTGACATTACGTGATATTTTTTAAAAAATACATATGATTTGTCTGAAAAACTGTGCTAAATAGAGTAGTGATGAAAAAGAGAATAGGCCAGAGGTCACAGATGGTGAAATACAGAACACAGGACAGGAAAACTCAGTAAGTCAACCATATTAGATAAGTAGAACAGCAAAAACAGGATGTTACAACTGAAAACATTAAAGAAATATCAATATAACCAAAAACTTCCATATGATAAATTGATGAACCTCTAGCCAGATCAAACAGGAAAAAAAGACACAAATTAATGGTATCATTCACAGAAGGGTCACTGGTACTCCCATGACATTAAAAGGATAATGAAGGAATACTTCCAAGAATTCTATACCCACAAATTTAATAACTTGGATGGAGTAGACTAAGTCCTTGACACAAACTACCAAAACTCACACAGAATGAAAAAAGTATAAAACTCTCTTGAAAAAAATCAAAGATTCAAATAATGGAGAAATATTCCAAGTACATGGATTAAATGACAATATTTTTTATTCTAATTTATTACATATGACAGCAAAATGCATTATAATTCATATTACATATATAGAGCATAATGTTTCATTCTCTGGTTGAATTCAAAGTATATTCACACCATTCATGTCTTCATACATGTACGTAGGGTAATGATGTCCATCTCATTTTTAAGATGTCAATTCTTCCCAACTTAATCTAGAAAGTTAATACAATCCCAATCAAAGTTATTTAGTAGCTGTCAATAAACTAATTCTACATTTCACATAGAAAGGCAAAGACCTAAAATAGTCAACACAATACTGGGGGGAAAAAAAGTCAGGAGACTTACACTATTCAATCTCAAGATTCACTATAAAGCTACAGAAATCAAGACAGCATAGTGTTAGCAAACTAAAAGACACGCTGATCAATGGATCAAACTAAGAAGCCCTTATATTGACCCAAATAAATATAATCAACTGCTCTTTGACAAAGAAACAGTTTCAATACAATGGGGAAAGAATAGTCTTTTCAACAAATAGTGCTGAATCAATTGACTGTCCATATGTAAAGAAATAAATCTGGTCACAGATTTAAAACCACTCACAAAAATTAACTCAAAATGGATCATAGATCTAAATATAAAATGCAAACTTAAAACTTCTAGAAGAAAATGTAGGTTTAGGTGACCTTGCTTTGTTGATAAGTTTTTAAATACAATACCAAAGTATGATCCATGAAAGAAAAACTGATGTCAGCCTTTATTCAAATTAAAAACCTCTACTCTGCCAAAGAAACTATTAAGAGAATGAAAAGACAAACCATGGACTTGAAGAAAATATCTGAAATATAAAGGACTAGTATCAAAAATAAACAAAGAACTCCTAAAATTCAACAATAAGAAAGAAAAAATTTTTACTAACAAAGATCTGAATAGACACCTGTTGTATAAAAAGAATTTGTCTGACCTTTGTACCAAGTTCCAAGCATAGTTTTGAAAATCCTTGAAATTCCCAAGTGATAAGAATGTCTTTATTTTCCATGAGCTTCTTGACTCATACCTCTTATGCCAATGAGGTAGTTCTATAGCAGACCTCTTAGAGCTTCAAGATGGGGGCTGGACATGCTAGAAATATCAACCATGTGATTAGATAGAGGGTTGGAGCTTTGAGCCATGTGCTATCAGCCCAGAGAAGGAAGGAAACTAGAGATTGAGTTTGATTAGGTTGTCAATGATTCAATCCATTATGCCTACATAATAAAACCACAATAAAACCTTGTAACACTTAAGGCTCAGTAGAGATTCCTGGTTAGTGAACACAGATGTGCCTTGGGTGGTGGTGGGGAGGCAGTTCTGACATGCCCTAATTTCACTAGGAAAAAGCACAGAAAGAAGCTCTGTGTTTGGATCCTACCCAGACCTGGCCATTGCATCTTCCTTTGGTTAATCCTGATCTGCATTCTTTACGATAATACCTTAAGTAGAGTGCCTTCTGGATCCATAAATCTAGGCACTCAAGGAGGAGGCCCCACAGTAAAGGAGAGGGAAGGAGAGGGAAGGAGACGAGAAGGGAAAGGTGGAAGGCACCAGAGACTCAAATGGAATAAATTAAACTCCATGTATGTATAATTATGTCAAAATTAACCCAATTATTATATATAACTATAATGTACCAGTAAAAGAATTTTAAAAAAAGAGGAAGAAATAGTTTACCTGAAATACAATACAGCAGAAAAGATGAGTGAACCTCAATTCCTTTGAAGCTTTGTACAATCCGTGGTAAATATGTTGGAAATGACTGTGATGCCTGATGCAGTGTCTAAGGAAGGATTCTTTGAGAGAAAAGCTATTTCTATTGAAGGTCCAAGCATGGATTATCTCTAATGAAGCTCCCCAAAGGCCATTCAAAATTGCACTATGGTGCCATTACCCATTGTTAGCTACAAAATAAACTTAATTTTTATCAACCACTACTTTCTCCCTCACCTTTCTAGGCCTTGGTTTCTATGGTGACATGGCTTAGCAAAGGTTTGATAGCAGAGCCAGGACTAGTACTACATTTGTACCTAGAACAAATTTCACTACTTATGAAGATGTAGGAAAAAGCAGTAGCTACTAGAAAACATTTCTCTTAAATTTGCTTACCATTCTGTAACACTCAACAAGTTTAACAAATACTCATCATATTCAATAGTTAACTCTACCACTATTTGTGTAAACTTTTCCAAGCTATTTAACCTTTCTGAGCCTCAGATTCCTGAATCCTAAATGGGAATATTATTAAATATTTCACAAAGTTAATGTGAGAATTAATTAAGACATGGTAAATAAAGAGCTGGGCATATAGAACATATACAGTAGTAACAGAGTAACTGATTTTATCATCATCATCATCATCATCATCATCTTCTGGGCGTCTATAAGATAAGTGGGGTTATTCAAAACATTTCACTTTAGTCAATGTTAAACTCTGCAATTAAACCTTGATTCCCAACTTCCTATAAGTAAAATGTTACCTAGATATATTTTGTTTGCAGAGTGTCTTAACCTTCCCTTCAGTCCATCATAATTGATCCAATTTACGACTTTTTGTAATAAGGCTTGATTGGCATCAAAATACAAGGCATTTCATGCATAAGGGATAAAAATTCTCCCTTGAGACTAGCAGAAAACTGAGAATGTTGCCAACTTCCTAACTACAGCAGTGTGCTACATGTCACAGAACACCACTTTTATATCCATTTAGCATCATAAAGCCAAGAATCAACATTATTTATTAAAAATGAGAAAAGAGGCAGAGTTGATTATTCCTCTTCATTTGCCATAATAAAGTATTCTGAAATAATTTTTAAAAGGGTAGGCCTTACAGCATAAGCAGTTCATAGCAAAATTAAAGTTCACTATCACAGAAAGAAATGACAGACAAGCCAACCAGGGCAATCCAGAAAGATTCTGACGCAGAATGAGGCAAAAGCTAATTAAGTTTGTCATTTCTGCGTGAGAGTAACTACAGAGTGTATATTTTTGTATATTGATTGCACTCTGTGGGTTCTATTCTACATTATTCTGATCTTCTTTTAGCACATACTACAATCCTTTATTTATAATTTACTAGGAATGAAACAGGTCATCTCAAAAAAAGATGTTTAAGAGTCTCTGGAAAATATTCAAACCAGCCAATGAAAATATGAAAATGACAAAAAAAAAAGTATAACTTTTGTGGATGCAATTTTTCAACTCTACTCAGTAACAGGTGGATACCCATCCTGCGACACTCTCCAGTAGGCAATATGTTCATAAAATAATGATAAAACACCTAAACTAATCACAGAAATTAGATAAGATTTTGGGGTACTTCTTAGAGGAAATTAAACATTTTAGAGTATTCATTTTACTTTTCATATTCAGATTACTATGTACTCATGAAAGATATAGAAATACTAAATTATTATTAAATATTACAAAATATTATACCTTAATACTATATGCAAATATAAATTATGCCTACACCAGAAAGGAAATGGGTGCATATCTGGTTGCTTGTTTGCTTACGTGAGTTCCTGGAGGGCTTGTTTTGATCTCTGCAGATCTGGCAAGTAGTGAGAAAGCAATCCTTCTGCCAGTTGCTCCACTGCTTTGTCTTCTACAGTCAAGTCCTCTATTAACCCTTCATCTGGAGAAGTGTCACTTAAACCTGTGCCCAAACAAAATTCAAATTTAGGAAACTTTTAAATTGTCACAGCACTAAAAAAGGTTAAGGAGTCACAGTTAAGGAGGGAAGGAGGCCTGCTGTGGAGCTGAGAGCACATACCCACTCTCCTTAACACAGGTGTTCTTCTTTCCTTTTAGAATCATTGGTTTAAAATGAGAAGAAAAAGTAAAAGGATCTCTTTATTCAAATTATACCCTAAAAGCATTGATAAATTAATATTAAACACTGAAACATCTTTCTTCAATCATAGTCTACAATCATAATATCTCTAGAATACATATATTGTAACACATTGCTTATCACATATCTCTAAGTACAGTTTTTATCAGATTTGAATTTTGGCAAGATAAAGGAAAACAATATGCTGTCATAGTCAAAATAAGCTTTTAGAAAATCAAAATAATTTAGGTCAACATACCTTATATATAATCTGAGATATAATAAATTATTGTATAATGGTGTATTAAGAATTGTAATGCAAAATAAATAAATAAATAGATAGATAGAAAAAAAGAAAATCAAAATAAATTTGTATGGTTTTTACTTTAATTCTGAGAAATACATGAACAAACTTTAGAATTCTCAATACAAGACAACAACRGAAAGAACTAAATAGAAGCTGAAACACAACACATTTATCTATATCTATATATCTAGTGAGAAAAGAGGAGCACTAGGCATACAGTGCCACTTATGTACCTTTGGATGCAAAAATTAATCAATTATATCTGGCAAATAGTTACATTGCTTAAAGTTTGATTAAAATAACAGAACAAACAGTAACTTTAATACAGAAAACATCAATATTACAAATGAACAGATAAAAACATTCAAATAAGGATATTTCAAATTTAAGGCATAAGAACTAATTCACTTCCCTTGCAATTTATACATGTTAACTCATAGGACTACTTCTTCTACCCCAATCTTCTGGTTATTTATGGACAAATCTGTTATTCATGTTTTTATACATATTGAGCCACTAAGTTCCAGATATTTTATTGTGAGAAATTAAAGAAAGTGTCCTTACCTATTTATGTAAGAAATATTTACAGAATATCTATGCCTTCTACTACTTTCTGAAGTTTCAACAATAAATAAAGATAAATCCACTTTCCTGAAAGGGCATAATACAGGGAAGTCATAGAGTATGATAAGTGCCATGACAGAAGGAAATATGGCCAATTGATCTGAGGCTTAAGGAATGGATGTCACTCCAAAGTTTCTTACAGAGCATGCATATTAGTCTTTCTATCATGAATGAAATACAACTCAAACTGTTCTACTTTTCTCTTAAAATATATGTCTTTCTATAGCAACATATACTGATCTACTCATTCTTTTTTTATTCTTTTTTTTTATTAGCTACACATGACATTACAATGATCTTGGCAATTCATACATTTTACTCATTCTTTTTAACAGAATAGAATTCTACCAAAATTTGTTTAACCAGTTCCTCATGGATGGATTATTTAGATTAGTTTTACCTTTTGTTGTTTAAAACAATGTTATAGTAAGCGTCCTAGCTAAATCTCTGCATATCTGTGTCATAGTTTTTGTAGGATAAATTCTTAGAAGCAGACAATTAAAAGGTTTATGCACTTTTGAAACAGCAAACCCCCTCCTAGGAGATGGCATCAATTTACACTCCTACCAACAATCAATCTTCTGGCGAACTATTTCCAAATGGATAGAATTCTATGAAAGGTAGAAGGAATGCAACATGGGTAAAGGAAAGGTGGGAATACAGGATTGCTCTGGAAAGGGGAGAGGGTGTGAGGTGTCATGAGCATGAGGCATACACAGCATAATAAGCTGTAATACAATGTGACCAGCCTGTGAGGGTCCTTAAGTGCCAAGTTAATAAGTAGTGAATAGCCAGTTAAAGATTCTAGGCAAGGGAATGACATGATTTATAAGTCATTCTGTTTAATAAGTAGTGAAGAGCCATTTAAAGATTCTAGGCAAGGGAATGACATGATTGGAGCTTTATCTTGGAACAGTGATGGAACAGTACTGGGAGAGACAGGTTGAAATAGTGCTTACAACTCTGAGTAAACTTATAACTGCTGAGTAAAGGATGAAAATACTGAAGAGATGGAAATTTTATAGTAAACCCATAACATTAAAGTGGGGGAAAAACAAGACTGCAAAGAGTTGAGAGCAATTTCAAAGTTTCAAGTGATAGTAACCTGGCACCATTAACAGGATCAGACATGTAACATGCACAATATCTATGCATGTTGTATGTGAGATCAGTGCAAAACAACCATGTCAAGGTATCCATCAGAGAAGCAAGTGAGTAAGGAGATGGGTCCAAGTTGTAAACATATACCACAAAAAAGTCATATTTACAGAAGTGACTTATGACGGTGTGAAGACTAATAGATCACTGAGTAAAAATATGACCAGTAAAGTGCCAAGAGCACTACTTTGGGGCAATCTCCTCATTTCTGGAACAAGGAGCTATTTTTTAAAGGTAGATCCAAACCCCTACAACCTTTCTCTTCTAGGGTCCCTTACATGAACCAAAGAACACAAACGCTTTGAGTGACTATTTCTCAATTCTCCCAAGGATGATGACACATAAACAGCACCAGTCTGGATGCACAGCAAGTTCATTCAACTCAAAGTATGCCTTTGGGTATTTATGCTTAAATCTCCCCTAGAATTCAGGTTTAAAAGGCTGCTGGAGGAATGGAAATGAATGACGTCACCAAGCAAGGCGGAGTATTCGTAAGTGGCCAATAGTTAATAACTCTCTGAATTATAAATCGATCGAACACCTTTTGTGACAAATTCATTCCTAACCCCTAACCTTCGGACGAATAACCAACAACGTGCCAGAGTCAACACAAACTTAGAATGATTTCGCCATCAAACGCCAGCAGCTGCACCCCAACACACAGCTTTCCCTCCGGACTTTGGTTCCCGCCCATTCCGCTAGGCAGCAGGACCAGAGTCCTCGCGGCCGCAACTGCAGATAGCTGTTGATTCCCTCCGAGCGGCTCCGGCGTCCCACCCACTCGGGTCCCGGCTCCTCGGACTCGCAGGGGCAGCTGGTCCAGCCGACACCACATACCCGGCGTCGGCTCACTGGCCTCCAAGACGTCAGGGGGCCCGGCCAGGACCCCGTCCGGGGGCGGTGGCCCAGGGACACTCATGTCCCTCCCGCTGGGCAAAGGGAAGGGGCAGTGAGGTGGACGATCAGATACAAGTACGAATCCAGCCCGTCTAGCTTCCGGTCGGACAGAAGCTGCAGTCGCACACGGAAATGACGGAGGCGGAAGACGGTGGCTTCGGACACGTGACCGCGGGTCAGAAGCCCCGGCCCCTACGTCGGTGGTGACGTAGTACTCTGGCCCRTAACGCAGTGTTGGAGGCGCGGCTTAGGGCTATGACGTGCTGTAGGTGGGGGACTTTGGGGAGGCCGTGGCTGGTTTGGATTGTTTCTAGGTGGATTACGAAGACCGGAAGAGCATGACCCTTGTTAGAAGAGGAGGAACAGTTGGGCTTTGTTCACTGAGGTTTGGTAGAAAGAAGAACGTACTTCTCCCTGAGGGCAGACCCTCTCTGCGCGGTGTGTGCACTAAGGAAGAACCTTAAGAATAGGGACTGCGTGCATTCCCTGCGATTTGAGAGGTTAAAAAAAAAAAAATCGGTTCTGGTTTTCAGCTATAATAACAAGTTATTGTATAATTCACTCCAAATACCTGAATACCTAAGAATGAACTAGGCACTATGGAGGGTTTAAAAAAAAAAAAGTAAAAGTCCTTGTTCCTGTTCAACAGGAATTTATACTTTACCACTTATTCATAGTAAGCGAACAAAACATTAAAGTGCTGAATTATGTGGAACAGAGCTAGAGCACTGTGAAGGCAGTAACTATTGTGTGTTCATTTTCTATGGCTGCTGTAATAAATGACCACAAACTAGATTAAAACAACACAAATTTACTATCTTACTGTTATGCAACAACCCAATCCCAGCGTATAAGAACTGACCCCACACTGCCATGAGACCCACATGGCTCCACTTTAATGAAAGTTTTTGCCACCTCCCAAGGCACCAAGCTAAAGACCAAAACCTTTAACATAAGAGCTTTTGGGGGACATTTCAAAGCCAAACTATAGCAAAAGTGGAAATCTTGGGTTGAGGGCATTATTCAACCTATCAAAGATACATGATTGTGTAGTACCCAATTGAGGAGGGGAAAACTAGAGAAAATGTAAATAAGGGAAGTGGGATTTAAGGCACACCTTGAAAAACAGGTAAAAAGTCTGCAGAAAAAAAAAACTAATAAAGTGTTGGAAATTGGGGACACTAAGTGTAGTTAAATTTTTCTTCAAATTCAAGGATCTTGGGACACTATCTTTGGGGGAAAGTGAAATCAACACAGATAAAATGGTTAGAAGGTCCTAAAGCATAGTCTGTTAAGCCAAAAGAATTTAAAAAGACAAAAAAGCACTAAACATAATCATATAGCTCTGAATAAGTTCAAAGAAACAATATCCAGGGACAGTTAAAACACTATATACTCATAGCAAAATAAGGGCATTTTATTTTAAGGACGTTGAAATTCAACTAAGAGCAAATGTAATGCAATAAATACATCAAAATCGTTAATCCACCTTTTAGCTTTTTGCTGTTTTATTTAAAATTTCCTGTGTTCTTTATGTCTAATAACCTAAAGGGTAGGTAGGAGATTCAAATAAAGAAACCTTAATCTGTTAATATTTTCTATTCCTTTTATGGATCAGATGCCCTATATTTATAATGTTTTAGGATTTGATAAAATCTCCCATTTTGACCTACTTCTCCACCCTCCCCTTCATTTCCCCCAAACTGAAGAAAGAATGTGGGTGTAGACAAAAGATTTGAGTGAGACAGAAGGACTAGGACTGCWGAGAAGAGATAGGAAGGGGGGTGGAGTTACACAGATAAAAGTTGTTACAGCCCATGCCCTTGTGCTTCCAAGGGATTAAAGTGTTGAAAATACATACAGTGTGATGCCCTTTCAAAATAATAAAAAGAAAAGAAGGGATAGGTAGAAAATCAAAGAGATGGGGCACCAAATAAAAGAGTTTACCATTTTATCTCTTGTTAACAGATCTGAAAAGATGATATTTTCTCAAGTAATTTTAACTACTTTTATATCTACATGAGAAATATTCTTTCACATTAGCAAAGTGCTAAAATACTTCCACCCACTGCAACTCTGCTACACTTCTCATCATCTCTTCCTTGCATTATGTAACAAACATATTTCCCATGGATTGTTACACCAATACTTTCTCCTAACTCTGCCACCAAAAAGTTTTGTAAAATATATGAAGAGCCAAAAGTAATGGCTTTTGAAATTTTCAGAAAATGAACACAATTACTAAAAACATTTTACATATGAAAATATGTCACGTTTCTTGCAAACTTGTATTTTTCAAATAATGTAGTTTATTGAAATTCAACTTCCATTACCTTTTTTATGTTATGTAAAGGTCACTATAGATACTGTATCAGGTGCTGATTCAGCCAGGGCAGCTAGAGCATGCTCAGTAAAAACAGAACATTAACACACATGTCCATTTTATGAAGTGTTCTGTTCCGCAAAGACTTTACTCAGAAACACATCTCACAGCCTCCACCTTAAAGAACACCCTTAGTCGTTGCTATGGCAAGAAACATGGTAAATCTCATGCAAACTCTTGAAGACTTCAACCTAGGATGAGATGTCATATTTCATTGCTCACACCAGTCACATGGCCACACCCAACATGGCATTCAGGAAGTATAATTCTACCATGTTCTCAGAAAGGGGGAAAACCAAAATGGGGAGAGAACTGATGACTACCACAGGTGCCAGTGATTAGAGACTTTCTTCTGAAGGTATTCTGTAGAGGAAAGGAGGGCACTGTGGTATAATTTTTAGCACTCTTTATCTTTTTATTTTTGCTGGGTTTTTTAATTTATTTAATCAAATTTGTTATCTATGACAGCAGAATGCATTTCAATTCATAGTACACATATATAGCACAATTTTTCATGTCTCTGGGTGTACACAAAGTAGAGACGTAGCATTTGTGTCTTCATACATGTACTTAGGGTAATGATGTCCATCTCCTTCCACCGTCTTTTCTACCCCTCTGCCCCTACCTTTCCCTCTCTCCTCTTTGCCCTATCTAAAGTTCTTCCATTCTTCCCATGCTCCCCTCATCACCTCATATCAGAGAAAACATTGAGCATTTGGTTTTTGGGGATTGGCTTACTTCACTTGGCATTATATTCTCCAGCTCCATCCATTTACCTACAAATGCCATGATTTAATGCTGAATAATATTCCATTGTTATTATATGCCATAGTTTCTCTATCCATTCATCTATTGAAGGGCATCTAGGTTGGTTCCACAATTTAGCTATTGGGAATTGTGCTGCTATAAACATTGATGTGGCTGTGTCACTATACTATGCCGTTTTTAAGTCCTCTGAGTATAAATCGAGAAGTGGGATAGCTGGTCAAATGGTGGTTCCATTGCAAGTTTTCCAAGAAATCTCCATACTGCTTTCCATATTGGTTGCATTAATTTGTATGAGTGTAGCCTTTTCTCTACATCCTCACCAGCACTATTGCTTGTATTCTTGATAATTGCCATTCTGAGTGGAGTGAGATGAAATCTTAGTTTTGATTTGTATTTCTCTAATTGCTAGAGATGTTAAACATTTTTTCATACATTTGTTGACTGATTGTATATCATCTTCTGAGAAGTGTCTGTCCATTTCCTTGGCATATTTATTAATTGGGTTATTTGTTTTTTTGGTACTAATATTTTTGAGTTCTTTATATATCCTAGAGATTAGTGCTCTATCTGATGTGGGTGTGGTAAAAATTTGCTTTCATTTTGTATGTTCTCTATTCACCTCACTGATTATTTCTTTTGCTGAGAAGCAGCTTTTTAGTTTGAATCCATCTCATTTATTGCTTCTTGATTTTATTGCTTGTGCTATAGGAGTCTTATTAAGGAAGTCGGAGCCTAATCCAACATAATGAAGATTTGGGCCTACTTTTTCTTCTATTAGAATCTCTAATTTAATTCCTAGGTCTCTGATCCACTTTGAGTTGAGTTTTGTGCATGGTGAGAGATAGGGGCTTAATTTCATTTTGTTACATATGGTTTTCCAGTTTTCCCAGCACCATTTGTTGAAGACACTATCCTTTCTCCAATACATGTTTGTGGTACCTTTGTCTAATGTGAGAGAAGATAACTGTATTTATGAGAGTTTGTCTCTGTGTCTGCTATTCTGTACCATTGGTCTACAAGTCTATTTTGTAGAACTCTTTATTTTTAAGGGACATTTTAAATTTACAATAAATTAAACAAGAAGTACAAAGTTCTATATATCCCCTAACACCCCCCCACACACACAACTCCCTCACTATCAATTTTTCTCCCAAGATGGATATATTTGTTACAAGCAATGAACTGACATTGATTCACCATTATCAACCAAAGTCCATAGTTAACATTAGGGTTCATTCTTGTATTTTCTATGGGTTTTGACAAATGTATAATTGCATGTGTCCATCATTGTCCTATCATTCAGAATAGTTTTGCTACTCTAAAACCCTCTCTTTATATCCCTATTTCTCCCTGCTAATCTCTGACAACAAGGCATCTTTTCTCATTGGTTATTTATTTATTTATTTGTTTGTTTGTTTGTCTATTTTGTTAACAGGGATTGAACCCAGAGCACTTAATTACTGAGCCATATCCCCACCCTTTTTTATCTTTTGTTTTGAGACAGAGTCCCACTAAATTGCTTAGGGCCTAGCTAATTTGCTGAGGCTGACTTTGAACTTGCAATTCTCCTGCCTCAGCCTCCAGAGTTACTGGGATTACTGACCTTTGCCTCCCCACTCATCTTGACCAGGATCTTTTCATTGTCTCCATAGTTTTGCCTTTTCCAGAATGTTATATAGTCATACAGAACATAGTTTTTTCAGACTGGCTACTTCCATGTAGCGTATGCATTTAATTTTCCCTCATATTTTATCATGACTTGACAGCTCATACATTTTTGTGCTGATTAATATTCCATTGTAGTATTATGGGTAGCCACTTCAGAAAACACTGAATTCAAATCAATGAGAACTTTGTTTACCTGGCCAGGGACTATCACCCACCCATAGAGACTGAAGGGAGAACAGCAACTTCCTGACCTGTATCCTGGGAACTTAAAGATGAAAATCACAACTC